ATCGCCGTACTTCGACACTGCCTAGTTAGTTTAATTATTTACTTTCCCGTACCACTGTTTAGCTGGGGATGTACAGTTCGGGATCGAAGAACCTGGCATAGTTGCACCCAACGTTTAGGAGCATCTCGATGATACCACTAATGAGAGATCTGCACACCGATTATTTGGGTTGCTATTTTACTGTTTTTATTATCGTAGTTATCTGGAATGGCTGGTAACAATCAATGATTTTCATCTGTTTTTTCGCCAAAAAATTTGATTATTTCGCAACAATTTAATTGTCAGGAATTGCTCCTCTTTCAAGGGTTGAATTCACAGTTCGTACTGAATTAGCGCTAAGATTACACGCGGATTGGATGGCAGCAGAACAGGCAGCGTGTCTTGGTGACGAACCGAATTTGAAGGTTGTCGTTTTTGTTTAGATTGTAAGTCTGAAAAAAATTTGTTTTTTTCAGATACGTGATCGAAATCGAACAGAGTTTGAGAAGAATTTGACATTTGCTGGCTTCGTTGTGATCTCATGCCCCTTAAAACCGGATACGAAGGCAATGGTGAAAGAAATAGCAGAATCATCGCATAGAGTAGTAATGATCACTGGCGATAATCCTCTTACTGCTTGCCACGTTGCTAGAGTTCTTCGATTCACAAAAAAGTCAGCGCCAATTCTTGTATTGGATGAACCTGAAGGTCAGACTATTGCCGTTTATCAGAATAAGTGTTTGAATTATGGCTGTGAACTCGCTGTAAACGCAACTCTGTCATGACTGAAGGTGACTTGATATCCAAATCATGGTTCTTCTCAGCTCTGCTGCTACTTTGATGCTTAGTATGGATTTTTGTGCTGTTGGAGTTAACTGTTGTTCCGACTTATCAAAAGTTATTTGAGATAAACTGAAGGTAGTTGTAAATTTTGGTATTCACATAACTTGGTAAATGTTTAGGCGATGATGACTGGTCGTGGTTATCAATGAATGATGACAAAAAAATCAGTCTGCTGCCGAAATCAAATGCTGCTGTTGCGCGTTTTATTAGTGAATACGAGTTTTGCATAACTGGACCGGTATGTCCAACATAGTTCCTTCATTTGATTACTGTTTTTAGCATTGTTGCCTTGAAGCTATCACTTGTCACAAAAAAACGGTCCCATTAATTTTTTTCCAGGGAGTGCTTTTTGTTTTAATTCTTAGTTTGCGGTAATTTTCATGTTTGTAGGCTTTCATATATCTACTCAGCAAGCACTATCATTTCCTCCGCTGCATCATGCCTCATGTAAAGATATTTGCCAGAATGGCGCCGAAACAAAAGGTCGCGCTTGAAAGTTATTTTGAAATTCTCTTTGTTAAAAGTGTCTTATGGAAGATTTGTAGTTAGAGGTACTCAGCGTTTTATGCATAATTTCACTAATCATGTTGTGCCTCATTTTACCTTCTTCAGTTTTTATGCGTTTTTTGCAGCAGTGCAATGCGAAAAACGCATATTGACGAGAGGTTGTCTGT